GGAGTGGTATAATTACTCTAGGGAGGATCTGCGTATAGCTTAACTCTCACATAATACTTGTAATTTTTCTAAGCTTCCAGAAAATCAGCAAATTCTTTAGTGCATGCTTCTCTGTCTATTAAATTATAAACTGAATTTTTAAAAAGGAGCTCGATAAAGGGCTCTCAGAGTACTGGCTAGTGCTATATGTGGAGAGCTGCAGGATACACAATTTGGCAAGAAGTTACCAATTATAACACAATTTTGTATCTCCTCTGACATTTGACCTTCTTGAAGCAGGGAAATTATTCCCATCTGATAACTCCAGATGTATTTGAGGAATTTCTAGAAAGTCAACAGCTAGCGTGCAGCATGGACACTGATACCAATGTGATCTCACCTGAAGATAACTCACTGTCCTGAGTCATCTGTATGACAAACTAGAAGCAAAATTGTGTCAGGCATTTGTAAATCATACCTGCAAAACCAGCCCTTGTCAGAAGACAAAGAAATTTCTTATACAATAATGGGTTAGAATGGCAGACAGAGTTGTGTGGAAGCAAGGGAGAAAATGACATTTGGGGGTCCTCATTTGTCCTCTCTACTTGGTGTCCAGCTGGGACAATACACAGAGGTCCTGTGGTTTCCTGTTGAGAAGACCCTTTAGATGACAACTGCATTCTGCTATCAGTAGAACTGGCTTCAGAACAACGTGATGGACAGGGGCATCCTCTCCCAACAATAATTGGAGAAGAACTGTTCATCCAGAGATATTTAGCATCATAGAACATTTAAAGTGGAAACTTGTAATACTTGTGTCCACTGAAATTGCAACAGGAATTGCTTAAAAAGTTATTACCTTAGTATGATAGGCAATAACTTCATGTTTGTTTACATTTCTCTTGAGTGTGAATGGTGCCATGCATTGTCCATATTTGTGTGGATAGATTTTGATAAGTTTCAACTTTTTAATAAGTAGATTTGTATATATATTATGGAAAATGATAAATTAGACTACTATGTATGGTTTTATGCATTCATGACATACCTAAGTTTTTCTAAGTGGCTTTGTCATTCTAAGCTTTTTTTTGTCTATTAGTTTTTCAAATTGCTGCAGATAATTATTTTTTAGTATATTCATTAAAATATCAGCATAAAAGTGGACCCTTTCAGATCAACCCATGCTGTTCAAGGGCCAACAATTCCTAAAGGTGAAGGCTGAAGAACAGGGACACCTCAACTGGTGGCATCATTTCAAGTATTCCAGTGGGAAAACTCTGGAAATACTGTGTGTGACACACTCACCTGTCCTCCCATAAGTGAGGTAGGGGATGCTCTTTCCCTTCTTTCTGTCTCATCAAAGGTTCCTGACCGCCCAATGAGACCAGCTAGCTTTTGAAAAACACTGTTTTAGAAGTTTTTATCCTTTCTCAGTGGTGTTCTAGAAATATGGTTAGCCATTGGCATGGAAAGGGAAAGGCAACTAGCACAAAGAATTGGGGAATTGACACAAGCTATGCAATTTCTATCGACTGACAAATTCCGGATAGAAAAGGAAAAGCTCTGAAAAATAAGAATTTCCACTCTAGCTCATGTTATGACCTCCCTTTTTTTTTTGTATAATCATCAAAATATTCTCAGCAACCATCAGTTTTCAATTGGATTGCCTTAGTCTCATAAGATGCTGCCAGGCCCAGGCAAGCAAGCGCTGCCCCAGTACGGGCAAAAATAATATTACAACTTGAAGTCAAAAATAATATTACAACTGGTTAATTAATAAAAGCAATTGGCTTATAACAGAATCAATATTGTAAAACAGGGCAGTACTAGAATATGTTAAAAAATAATCAGAGTTCTTCTACTGCCTGGATGAGAACCCAAATCTTATCACTCTACTCTCTTACTTAAGCTTTTTATTGCTCAGTCTTTAAAAGAGGAATCTTACTATCTCCCTTAGTGATATCTACAAGAAAACTTCTCCAACCTGGCCCTCGACTTTACTTTACCCTCTTTTACAACTTCACCTTGGTCCGTGACCTCACTTTATCATGTTTCACATCTTCAGCCCAGCCTCCACCTTAGTCCTGGACTTGACTTTACCCTCTAAGATGTCTCAGTGAGATTGAAGATCATTCAGTAGCATGTAAGGTTCAAAGGGACTTTATTTTAGCCAATCATCACTGTGGTAAATATAACAATGTTAGCCTTAAATTTTATGAATTTATGTACCTATCTTAACTTTAATAGATTGGTTTTAAGAATAATAAATGTTACAATGTCAGCTGAATGTTAATATGATCCCAAACTGTTCTTAGATAAAAAGATGATTATAATCTCTCAGCCCAGTTCATGTGCTGATGTCATCCCACTGCTTACTCGTAATGTATAAAATAAACTGCTGAGAGCAGAACAGGAAGGCTTGCACCCAACTCTGATTCCATATCTTCCTCGCACCCGCTCCCCTTTTTTCCTCTTTTAGGAATCTCTGCTCGCTGACTCAGCTCCCACCTTAACACCCTGCCTGTTCTGCGCCCCCCCCCCACCTCTCCCAACAATCCATGATTGGGACTAGGGCTGAAGAAAGGAATAGATATCGATCTAGTAATTTTTTAAAATAAGATTTATTTATTTATTTATGCATAAAGAACTGGGTACAGGCCACAGGCATAGGTGCAGTAAGAGGATTCACCAGAGACAGAGTGGTGAGCAGAACTGGCAGATCAACAAAGTACACTACTGAGGGGAGCAGCAGGAGGGTTAGGAGAGGTCTGCCATGTCATGTTGATCTCCTCGGGGGCCGGGATTGAACTCATTCTGAAGTGGCTTTAGCTTCTTCGTGCTGTGCTTTAACCCGCTGTACCACCAGGGAGGGCCCATTTTTATTTATTTTTTATATATTTATATTTTTTATATTTTTGCATCATTGTTCATTTTTGTACAATGTTTGATTTCCCCTCTCAAGTGTTGTCCCCATAAAATTACCACCACCAAGATACCTGTGCAACATCACCATAGACTGAAAGGACTAGATAGCGTTAAGACAGTTTTAGCTTCAGGAGAATTTCAAGTAGTTTGGAGTCACTCCTGGGTGTGTGAGCTCAACAAGAGAGGGTATCACTCCGGCTGCAGTGGCTGCAATAGCTTCACAGTGTTGTGCTTGGGTCAGTCTTTGACTCTCCTGGGAACAGATTCTTGGGCTTTCCCTTGACTACTGGTGAACTTCCAGGACAAGGAAGATCCCAGAAACAGTTTCCAAAGGAGAAACTGAAGCCCTAGAGACGAAGGGGGCCACAGCTGACATGGCCTAGCCCCCATTCATAGCTCTCCACAGGCCAGTATCTTAGAGGGCAGGTAGAGAGGCACTACTGAACCTCCAAACCTGCCTGCTCTAAATAGGTTCTGCCATCCGCCGCATCAAGACAAGTCATAATGTTACAGGGCACCCCAATGTGAATTGGGTTGCCTGTCTGTGGGTCTTCACCCGTGCGCTTACGATTCAATCGTATTATGGACACACTTCAAAAGGTTAAATAATGGATTTATTTATAAGGAGAAAGGTAAAGGGATAACCCAGGGAAAGAGGGAGAGAAACACAGGTTAACTAGGATGTCCTACCAGTTCTGCTGACGTGGACTCCACCGGCACGCTGAAAACCGATTGAGCGCCAAAACGATCAGCTGCGAACCACCAGGCCAAGAGACCCCCAGAGCCCACGTGTCCGGTTTTATCCCCACCTGGCTGCTCAGCTCCGCCCTCACGTCCCTGCGTGCTTCTCCTTGGTACTGATGGGATTTGGAGTTCCAGCATCGAGTGGGGGCGGAGTCCGAGAAACCTGTATCTGTTACAATAAGAGCTTTAATGGAAAGGAACTTTAATACAATTGTTACAGGACAAACTCTGTTATATGACAGGGAGAGAGGGAAAACCCTGAAGCCCAAAACCTGCCTGCTCTAAGTGGGTTCTGCCATCTGCCGCAACAAGACAAAACATATATAACTTTAATGAAAAGGGACTTTAATACAGTGAATATACAATACGGAACACAAAGAATATAACTTCTAAGTCAAACACCTGAAGTTACCCATCCTCTCGTGGGCAAAAGTCCACCCAGAAGGGATTGGCCCAAAGCAAGGCCTGAAAGCCAGACACAAGACTAAAGCTCCTTCTGGCCAGGACCCATGGAAAAGGGTCAGAAATGGCCAGACAAATCTGGGAGGAAAAGAACAAAATCAAAATCAATATAAACACTGCCATAGTCACCTCCCTACAGGTATCTCACCCACATCTGCCTTAACCAGTCCAGGGTCAGGAAACAAGCACGGTTTCTTCACATGCTTGCTGCCCCATGTGGCTTCCTCAGGTCTCCTCCTTGTTCTCCATCTGGCTTCCTTCCCTTCTTCTCTCCTTCTTCCTTTCTTCTCTCTGCTCAGCTCCACCCTCCTTCTGGGTGGGGCAGGGAATCTGGAACTTCCCCTTTTCCTGGGACCACCCTGTTACACAATGAGTGTGTAAAACGGAAAAGAAAAAGAATATAGTTTCTAAATCAAACATCCAAAGTTACCCATCCCCTCGTGGGTAAAAGTTCACCCAAAAGGGATTGGCCCAAAGCAAGGTCTGAAAACCTTCCACAAGCCTAAAGCATCTTTTAGCTGGGAGCAGAAAAAAGAATCAGAAATGGCCAGATAAGTCTGGGAGGAAAAGAGCAAAATCAAGATCAAGATAAACGACTCCATAGTGAACCTCCCCACCGGTCTCTCACCCACATCTGTTTCAACCAGTCCAGGACCAAGAAGAAGCAAGAATAGTTTTCTTCACATGTCTCTCTGCTCCATGTGTCACACTCAGGTCACCTGGCTTCATCCTGCTCCCTTCATCTTCAATCTCCTTTCTAGATTCCTCTTCTCTGCTCAGCTCCAGGCTCCTTCTGGGTGGGGTAGGGAACCTGGAACTTCCCCTTTTCCTGGAGACTCCCCTGTTACAGTTCCACATTATTATTCTTTCTGGCATAGTTTCTATGTCTGCCCCTCTATGTCACTAGGGGACCATCCCAGGCTTCTGCACTAGCAGTATTGACCGTGGGTGATCAGTCTTTTTCAGCCAAGTCTCCTCAGCTGTCTGACTAGAGAATACTTACTATAGTAAGAGATACAAGTAGCTGGCCAACTTATCAGCAGGGCTCCTACACTCCAGAGGAAGAAACAGAGACCTGGGAGGTGCGGGTGGAATCTTCCCGGACTTGTTGGGGGTGTGGGGGGTGGGACCAGGGCGTGGAAGCTAAGGAAGCTGGAGGCGGGGTTGCGGGCGCGGTCAGAAAGCTGGCCCAGGGGCAGGACTGACAGGGCGGATGCTAGGCTGTGTCCCCTGGGGCGGGACTCAGCACGCAGTCTTTGATCCAAGATTCACTTGAAACTGGCCGGTGCGCAGCCCCTGGTCCCGCGTCTGCTGGCCTCCCAGGATCAGCCCTTCCTCTGACCCAGGTCGAACGCTTAGCCACCAGCGACGCTGCACCCGGATGGCGCAGCGAGTGTAGCAGATCCCAGTACCTGCGAGTGGTCAGCGGTCGGAGTTCTTCGGGAACCATTTGCCCGCGGGTGAGGTGACCTTGGTTAGGGTAGAAAGGATGGAAAGGACGTTGGGGGGTACGCAGGATGCACTGGGAAGAGCGTGCGCTGAATCGGTGCTCAGGAGAGTGAACTCGCCGAGAGTGCGCGGGGTATCTCGGCCAGCAGGATGCATGAGCGGGGTTTCACAGTGTGGGGGGAGCGGACTAGCCCGGGCTGTGCACGCAGGGATTGTAGGCGGAGTGAAACTTTCGCTGAGAGCCCCGCCAAGGGGGATGCGCCGCAAGGGTACGCTGGGAAGGGTGCTGGGATCTGCGTTTCCCAGGGCCTGCCTTGGCCAGCCTCTCCCTCGTCCTGGGCCTGCCTCATTTCCTGATCCTCCCGGGTGGTCCCTGTGTACTGCCGAATGTGTCGGGCTCCGGATCCACTTGGTGGAGACGACTGAGGTGGAGTTGGAATCCTACAGGCAGAGCTCTTGTACAGCGCTCATGAGCCCTCCTCTGCGCAGGGAACCTGGCGGGAAGGCGGTGGGAATTGAGACCCAATCCCCCTTTTAATGGTGGAAATAAAATTACATTTTGGATGTAACTGTTACTCAAAGCTCCATCGTTCAAATGCACTCGTGCATTTATTGAGCAAGCATTTAACACTTTGGATTTGGTCTGATAACTCAAAATAGGAGCTTTATAGTCATAAATTATACGACACAAATGCGATTTGGCGGGGGCGTGGTGCCTTTTACAATTCTGTATAAAGTAAGCTGTGTGGGTTTTTTTTTTTTTTTAAACCTGGAAAGCCACTGAGGGAAGCTCCTTCAGCCCCACCTACTTTCTGCAGGTGTTCTCTGGCAGGTGAGGGTTGGGCCAGGTGATTCAAGATAACCATGGGGTCTCAGGTCACTGGTCAGACTTCCTGCCCCACCTGCCTCACGTCTGGCACTTTCTTGTGACACTGTTACTGGAAAACACATTCTGAAATCCTGTACACCCTTTACATTTCCTGTAAAACGACTGGGATTGCCTTTAGGGGTTACTTACTTCTAAGACTTTAAGTACTGATGGGCAGTGAATGGATTTTGGTTAAGATTAGCTTTTCCTTATTTTGGCTTTTGTCAAAGTGGAATTTTTGTTGTCTTTACTGATCATAGAATCAGTGAGAGCTCACTGTGAAAAAAAAACTAACAAAATGTGTAACAGAAAGTGAAACTTTCATTTTTTCCTACATTGTAAATTTATAAAGGAAAGCAAAACTTTTAGTATTTCTCCTTCTTTCTCTGGGTAGACAATGACGAGTGAGCTGAGTCATGACCAAGTCTGGTAAGTTGTTTGTACACAGCCATACAGGAAACAGAGAGGAAGCTGGACTGGGCAGCCGGGTCCCAGAGGAACCATGTCTGCAGAAGCTGGTGGTCCCATTTTATAGCACGAAGCATGGCTTCTCAGGAAACCCACTCTACATCTTATATGTTGGAGGGAACATGTCCAGAATATGCAATAGCTTCAATTCAGTAGAACAATTTTAATGCAGTTGTCAAAAAAAAAAAAATCCCCTAATTCTACACATGCCCTCCTATGAATGAACTCTTCTAATGAGCAGTGCTTTACTGTCTCCATGGTGTTGTCCTCAGTGTACAGAACCCAGATCCTTTTCTTTAGCCAGGTTCTAAGACCAGGCAAGGGGCTTTTGTAAGGGTTTTACATTGTGGCCTGGAATTGGCAATAGAAACCTAGGTTCTGGAATTCAAAATCCTCTCCTTTTCCATACTAAACCTTAGTTGCTAGACTTCTGCCTCTGTATTGAAGGGACTACAGTATTTACTAGACATATTTATTGATTCTTCTGAAGGTGGAAACAGTTTCGGCATAACCTTGTTCCTGGATTATTACTTCATTCTGATTCATCAGCTGGTCTCCTTTCACAGAGTGAATACGTGCTTCCCACTGCTGCCAGCTTAGTTTGGAGTTTGGAAAAGAACCAGGTCCAGGTGAGTAACTCTCCTGCTCATGAGGGTAGGGTGTATTGGATATTGGTTCCCACTCTGTTTCAGTTGGTAAAAAGGAAAAGACAAAGACATTGAGAGGTAAGCAACTTTCTTTCCTCTTTGGCATTTCAGTGGGTGGGAGAGGTGAACACAGAATTTATTCTTTACTCCCTGGTTCTTTTGAGAGTGAAATGAAACTCTGATAATTATGCAAAGATTCCAGGTAAATCTGCCTTCCTGGTCACCTAAAAGCACCCCAGTTTATTTAGCTAAAAGCACCCCAGTTTATTTAGTAAAAAATTTCCAAAAGTCTACCTTTTACTGTGCATGAAGTTAGTAGGGCAGGGATGTGGAGAAGGGTCAATCTTGGGTAGCTTGATGGCCTGGGGGGCAAACCTGTAGGCCCTGGGAGTGTGTGGGCAGGGAGCAGGTGCAGAGTGGACTCAAGAAGGAGCCTGATGTCTAGAGGGAAGCAGGAACTGGCCAAGGCAATGGTTTTTCTGGTTCAGATGCAAGAAAAGCACAAGGTCTATAGAGAAACACTCTGCAATGTCAGACAAGCTGTTTATATATTGCTTTTCTGGAAAATAGGGTTTGGATTCTCTATGAGAAACTTTTAGGGAGTATGCTATGATTCAACTGTTGCCTAAGGGAAGGTGCCTCAAATTCTCTTTGAGCTCCTGTCCACCAGCTCCCCAGCCCCCCCTAGGAAAAAAGCACCCTAGAGCTTTCAGATCCATTGGGGAGGTTGCTGTGAGCATGTACTCTTTCACAGGGAACATGGCCTGCCAGACAAAAACTGCTGGAACTTGGGCCTCAATTCTGCATGTCCCCAATTCCCTTCTTCCCTCAGGAAAAATGGAAGGCCAAGAAGGCGGGTGTAGATTGGCTGCACACAAAGAATCGCTCCCGCTGCCCATGATTGGCAAGACTAGGAGAGATGGAAATCCATCTGACAGATAGAAGCCAGACTTCTCAGTCTCTGGGCTATCTGTTTGATGGGTGCTGGCAAGGCCTAGAATAATGACCTGAGATTCTGATCTCCAATTATGGTTTTGATCATGTGGAGATTTTTCTATTACCAGTTCTCTAATACCTTCTGGGTGTCCTATAGTTCAGCTCAACTCAGATACTATCTAGAGATAAAGTCAAATCTCACAGGATAAGAGTTCAATCCCTTGTCCTGTACACCACTCCCATGCCAGGTACAAGTGCAGGTTGTCATTTATACTTCTGACCAGCAACCTCTCGGTGAGAGGTTTCAATGACCTTCTCCTTGGGTTTTATTAATTTTATAGAGCTGATCACAGAGCACAGAGGAACATTTCCCTCACTAGATTACCGGTTTATTACAAGAAGACATAACTCAGGAAGAGCCAGTGGGAAGAGCTGCACAGCACAGGATGTGGGGAAAGGTTCTGGAAGACCCCATGCCATTTCTGGGGGTGCCATTCTTCTCTGAATCTCTGTGTGTTCAGCAGCCTGCAAGCTCCCAGAAAGCTGTCCTTCTTGGGTTTTATGGAGTCTTCATTTGCAAGCTTGGTTGATTAAATCACCCAGCATTGGCTGCCATTGTTTCAACCTCCAGTCTCTTTCGCTTCCCTGGAGGTTGGACTGAAAAATTCCAACCCTCTAAACAGAGTTGGGTCTCCTAGCAACTACCTCCCACCTTTAAGTGAGGAGTAAAGCCATTTGCCTTTAACACACAAAAAGACAACTTTGTTGCTAGCACCAACTGGGAAATTCCAAGGGTTTTCCAAGCCCTGCCAGAAACCTGTAAAGAGATCAAGTATATATTTAATCACAGTAGTACAGACTTGGAGTAGTTGACCTTCTTGCCCACCAGCTCTTCTCTACTTCCTCTTGCCTGTGCTTGACCTGTGACCCTTGATGGTTCAGGGTGAAGGATGGTACTTAAAATTCACTCTCTTTCTCAACTCCTCTTTGCTGAACTGAGTGGTTGGCATCCTTCAAACAGGAAGGGCAAAGCCAGGGAGAGACAAGGCAGCCACTACAGGATAGTTTTGCTCCAGATCCAACTATTAAAATCTGTTTTTCAGGATTTTCAAAGAATAGTCAGTGTATTAACTGTGGTGACAACAGTTATAAATCCCTTTCTCTTGAGAGGGACCTTTGGAGTTTTAGTTTAGTGGACTGTTAGTTTCTCAATCAGTGGGTGGGGAGACACGAAGTCAAGAACACAGCTGGCTTCATGGCATGGATTCCACTTATTGTCTTCATCACTTCTGAGTTAGCCTGGCTACACTTCCCTATCTCCAAAGTGGTACAGTGCTGGTCCTGAAAAGCTAGTGAGGGAACTGGGAACTGTGAGGCCATGTGCTGGGGAATCATGGCTTTGTGAATGGAGCTCACCCCCTGAATATGCAGGGGCTGAACATGTCAACCCTTCACAAGGGACATGATCTTGTGGATTTTCTAATTCCTGAGCCTCAGTTTCATGGTGGCAGTGTGAGGGAGGAAGTGCTTTTCCCCTCTCTGATTTGGAGTGCCATCAGAGCATATCTCTGAGAGCTGGTGCCTTTGCCCTGATCCCTCCCTTGCCAGGAGTTTTGAGGCTGGAGAGGTAGTTCAGATTCTAGAAAGGTGAGTCAGAGACAACAAGGTGCTGTTTTGTGGTGTAATGGCCATTTTTGTTGAGGAACTGGTAAGCACCGATCTTGACCAGATTCTGAGATACCAGTGTACTTTGTCTTTGGCAAATATCTGCTCCCTCCCCTGAAATTAGCCACCCTTAAGTCATAAATAAACACGTGTGGTGTCAATAATCCACTTGATTGTGCTGCTCTTTCCAGATTGGGGTGTGTGGCTTTGCTGATTGCCCCTGTGATCTTGGTTCCTTTTGGGGGGATTCACTTGTCTGTGTTGTTTTCTCCCAGGGTCCTGCCTCTGTTGATAGAATGGCATCCACGGTGACAGAAAGAGAGGATCTTGAAAATCACCACAAGTAAGGCTTCCCCTAATGCATACCCAGTTGGGATGACTTGAGTTTATTGTGCTTATTTTGTGCTAAGGGCTGAAGTCTAATAACACATTTAATTATTGGAACAGAGGTTGAGGTTTGGAGGGTCAAGCTCTGTAGACTCCATAGTTTAGACAGGTGTGGGGTGGTAGGTAATGTTTCTCTCCATGTTGAGAAACTCCTTGGCTGCTGCCCTGGGCCTCTTAGCTCTTGGGATGTGTAGTCTTGGGAGACCTCAGTCTCCTCTCTGTGTCCATGGGGTTCAGTTTATGCATGATGACTCTCCTGAAACATTCCCCCAGCTTTCTTTTGATTTTGCATCTTAAATACTTTTCTTATTTCTTTGTAGTTTTTCATAATTTCATTTTGTGCTTGTTAAGATCCACTTTTATGTTTACTTGGGAATTTTTTGAAAAACAAGAATGCATCTTAATCCCAATTCCTACATGAGTTTTAAATCTACTTTTTTTTAAAAAAAATATTTCTTTGCTTGTCTAGTGCAGCTGGTATTATGGAGACTCTCCTTCAGTGGACTCCCCCAGTTCTGGTGACCTCTGAACCTGGTAACAACCAGGATTGTGTAGTTTTGGGCATTGACACATGGACTCTTCCTCAGTTCATTCTTAGGAAGTTTCCCAGGGATTCCTCTGACCTTCTGGACCCTCTGGAGACTCATGCAGTGATTACATGTCCTGGTCATAATTCTAAATGGATACCTGTCCTAGCTCCTCCAGAACCTTGCAGGTTCTGAGGTCTGTTTTCACACTTTAGATACTCTAGTTATCACCTGCAGAGATAACTTTTATTGGAGTAATGGTGTCCCTGGCATTTTCTGTGATTGACAAAAATGAAGAGTCTATAATATCTGAGGATCTCCCCAACAGGCTGAGGACCTTGGGGGACTGGTGGAGGGTTGTGGTTGGAATGAAGTTTGGAGAAGGATGGGCTGATGATGGCATGTCATGTATATGACTTAACTAGAGAGTGGTCCCTTCCCTTTATTTAGGAATTTCTTTCCTTTCCTGTAGTAGTTTCACTGTCAGCTACTGACTTGTCACAGTCTCTCTGTGGTGTTAAGAGGTCTGAAGACTGGCTCATGACTGCAGCTTGTAAACAAAGAACTGTCTGTGAAATTTAGAAATGGGCATTTAGAAGGAAGCTCTTTCTTACAGTGTTTATGAATTTTAAATGAATGGCTACATCTTAGCTGTTAACAATATCATTCCCACCACAAAGCCCAGTGACTTCATTTTACTAATCTGTGTGTTCCTATGGTTTATGTGGAATTGGTACTAGATTAAATTGAGGTTCCTTAATTTCTCTCTTTTCATTCTCTTCTTGTTCCCTCAAGTACCTGGCCCAGGCATTGGACCAGTATGTGAAATGATAGGTAGTGTTCCTCTCCATGTTGAGAAATTCCTGGGATGTGAAGTTAGCTTTTAATTATCACCTAATATGTTCCTTTTACATAGTAGGTTTTTTATAATTTATAATTTTTTAAAAAAGATTTATTTATTTATTCGTACAGAACTGGGGTACAGGCCAGAGATGCGGAGGGTAAGAGGATTCACCAGCGACAGAGTGGGGAGCAGAACAGGCAGATCAACGAAGTACAGTGCTGAGGGGAGCAGCGGGCAGGCCAGGAGAAGTCTGCCACGCCATGTGGATCTCCTC